TACAAAACAGATTTTTTTTTTCTGAAATGAAGTGATTCTATTTTTTACATAGAATGTAATGCCACTCCATGTCCGATGTCTAAGTCATCTGGTGAGGCGTTAATGCAGGCCACTGCTACTACCATGCGGTGGATCTGGTTGAATGGTTGGTTCAAGGTTCTGCACTTGAAGTTTTTTTTAGCCCATCCATTTCGGAGAGAATTTCTACTGCTCTCCCTGTAGCGCAGAAAATAAAAAAAACACTTAAATAAGTGTCATTTAGGAGAAATAACAAAAAACTATTTTTGAAAATAATATCAAGAATTACCTTCGGGCTCAATTTGTATCTGGTCGAGGCTTTCATATTAAGAACTGTAGACATAGTAGCTACAGTGTATGTGCTTTCCAAGTCTGGTTGAGGATAACATCTCTGGATGCACCGCACCACATTCTTTGGCCACCTGCCTGAGTGTCTGATTCCCTGATGTGAGTGTCTGATTCCCTGATGTGAGTGTCTGATTCCCTGATGTGAGTGTCTGATTCCCTGATGTGAGTGTCTGATTACCTGATGTGAGTGTCTGATTCCCTGATGTGAGTGTCTGATTCCCTGATGTGAGTGTCTGATTCCCTGATGTGAGTGTCTGATTCCCTGATGTGAGTGTCTGATTCCCTGATGTGAGTGTCTGATTCCCTGATGTGAGTGTCTGATTCCCTGATGTGAGTGTCTGATTCCCTGATGTGAGTGTCTGCGCCCGTCCGGGAGAAGAAGTATTGGTTATGGTTAGAGATGGAACACGCCCGTCTGTTCTCCACCAGCACCTCCATCGAAGCAATCATTTCAGGAGTAAACAGAACCAGCACTTTCCGACTTCTTTTCCCTTTAATTTCAATTCGTCGAAAGAATGCTGACACAGCTTTTTTCAATTTCAGACAGTCCAAAAGCAACGTCAGAATGGATCACAGTTTTACTTCTAAAAGTAAACGCTGTCTGTGGCATCTTTGAAACCTCACCTTCCCTTCTCCCCATTTCCACTGGCTCGCTTTAGCCGCTACCCGGTACTTTTTTAGAAGCGTTTGGCCCTGGTTACGTCAGTTCTGATTCCGAAAATGAGTACTTTCAAGCTCGGTAACGCTTTATATTAAGGTGTGCTTATTAAGTATTAATAAGGTATTAATAGACAATAGCAACAGGCTTATAGATTGCTTATATGTACTTATAAACATATTAATAAGCTGCTCATTTCACTATTCTCTAAATGATGTTGTTCTAGTTATATGCTTTTAAGCATTTAATAAGTAATTAGTAAGATACTTATTAAAGGAGGAATATGTTTATAAATATATGAATAAGCTGCTTATTAAACTATTATCGATACCATGTTAATAGGCCACTAACAATATGCCTATAAAGATATTAATACGCTGCTTATTAATAGGTAATAGTGGTAATAGGCCACTAAAATATGCGTTAATAAACTGCTTATTACACTATTTTGCAGTACCTTAATCTAAAGCAAGGAGCATTTTTGTTAATGCAGAAAAAAACACAACAATGATCTAAGATGTTTTTATTTATTCAAACAGCAACAATTACAGTCTAGCACGGTGGCTGAGTGGTTAGCACTCTCGCCTCTCAGCAAGAAGGTCCTGGGTTCGAATCCCGGCCGGACCAGGGCCTTTCTGAGTGGAGTTTGCATGTTCTCCCCGTGCCTGCGTAGGTTTCCTCCGGGTACTCCGGTTTCCCCTACCACTAAAAATATGTACAATAGGTCTGGCATGCGCCTCCTGTACTGGCCCCGCTCCCATCTCTGTGTGGAGTGAGAGACAAATGCCCAAAAATAATAACAATTGTAAACCGCTTTGTGACTCTGGTCTGTGAAAGGCGGTTTATAAATAAAACTTACTTACTTACTACTAAATGAAAAAAAATATCAAAATGAAGTTTGTGCCAAAAGTTTGTTAGTAACTTCAAGGAGCCATGATGAACCCACTCATGCTCCGACCTGCTCTGTTCATGAATTTGGCTTTGGCAAAACAGTGAATCAGCTGACTTCACGAGCCTGAGAGATTAGCGGAACTCGCCTATTTTTGGGCATCGTCTGGTCCTCCCGGTTCTGTGCAGTGGACGAGCTCCCATGATGCTTTGCGCCAAATACGCGTGTGTGGCTCTCATGCACGTGCACAGAGGGGCAGCTCTGACCAATCAGAGCTGATAAGAGCGAGAGTTAGAGCGGGAGTAAGAGCTAGACGAGTAGAGTTTGTGGCAGTAAAATGTGGATTTAAAGAAAACTGAAGGATTTAAGAAGAAAAAAAGTTCAGGACGACAAGGGACACTAAAATCCCAACAAAATCCGACCTTTATGAAAGCTGTAGGTTCTCTGTCTGCTGAGGTCGAGCTGTTTTAGTTTACATTGAGTTCTATGGGACAATTTCTGGGTAGCCCACGTGAATTTAGTTTGCAGTACCACGAGAATCTCCCGAGCTACAAGCTAGTAATACCCTATCCAGTTATTATAATAGATCCATGTATACAACGCACCTGTGGCACAACCATGGAACTATAATTATAACTGGATAGTGTTTTCCTAGCTTATAGCTGTCCCACCCATGGGCACAGGGGGCGCAATTGTTGCTGTTTGAATAAATAAAAACATCTTAGATCATTGTTGTGTTTTTTTCTGCATTAACAAAAATGCTCCTCGCTTTAGATTAGGATACTGCAAAATAGTGTAATAAGCAGTTTATTAACGCATATTTTAGTGGCCTATTACCACTATTACCTGTAAATAAGCAGCTTATTAATATATTTATAAACATATTCCTCCTTTAATAGTATCTTACTATTTACTTATTAAATGCTTAAAAGCATATAACTAGAACAACATCATTCAGAGAATAGTGAAATGAGCAGCTTATTAATATGTTTATAAGTACATATAAGCAATCTATAAGCATGTTGCTATTGTCTATTAATACCTTATTAATACTTAACAAGCACACCTTAATATAAAGCGTTACCTCAAGCTCTAATGAAGCCAAGTTTTTTGAGTTTCAACCAAAACTCAACTGTCTTTATTGAACCATTGAACCATCCATTATTTACTCTCTAACTACATTTAGTAAAAGATATATTTATGACACATGACATCAACAACACTTTAGCTGTTTTAGATTTTAGAACCACAGACACATGTTCAGTATGAGACCAGATACTTTTTCATTTGATTGAAGACAGACACTCACCATTTCTCTCTAAGTCAACATCTAGCAGAGTTGAGTCTTCTCTCCTCGTGTAGCTAGCTGGTGTTGGCATGTTAGCCGGTGTTAGCGTGTTAGCCAATGTCCGTAAATTGTATCTTGGTCAAACCACCTCCAGACTTTTTGGTTCTGCCCTCTTTTTCTGTTGTGATCTTTCATGTCATTGTTTTTCTATAGCAATGACATTCGCAACATGTGAAAAGGCTCATGCTAACATGAATGTCAAGACTGATTTGTTTTGCAGATTGGGACCTTAATGCTAACAGGAGGCATGCAAACTAGCACGCTAATACATGCCCAGTTTGATTTGTGGAACCATCTGCAGTTAAATACGTCCAAACCACCTTTCCATTACTAATGTTATTTTAGTATGAGCTATTAATGGACATTTAAAATTTACCATTAGTATGGTATTTAAATAAACAGGGCCACTTATACGTACTTATACAGGCCAGGTTCCTAATGTCTGGGACAACCATAACTGATGGCGATCTGGAGAAAAGGTCCTGATTTGAAAATTGTGATCACTTTAGCCTTTTTAATTTGCCGCTAGGTTTCATACAATTATCATATCCATATCATTTATATCTTTTGATGTTTTGTTTTTTCTATTGTCTAATTGCATTCAGCAGGTCCCTCGTCAGTGGGAGTGATGGTCTTTTACATTGCCAACATTGTTTTATCGAAAAGTCCAATGTGTAATATATATTTAAGTGTTGAAAGCAGCATTTACACATATCTGACTCTTGAATGATTCCCAGTTTTGATTTAAATTTGATCAAATCACTCTGCAAAAACTCTCACTGTTCAGTTAAAAATGTATATCATACACCGTTTACGTTTTAAAATGTCATAGAATTAATTATTGGTGAAAATTGGTGTGATTCTTGTGGATCTCGTGATCACAGGATACAGACCAATATGGAAAACAGTGTGAATTTTTTCATCCAGTCTCTGAATGTCTTTAGGTCGGATCCCAAAACTCTAAAGACAGCTTACATTAATTGCTTCCAAAGTCATATTCAAAATGTTCCTCAACTTTTTCAATTTTTTTTAATCAATAAATAATAAACTTATTTAATGTGCATATCTAATGATTTACTCCTGACACTTTTTGGTTAGAAAATGTGGAACACTGAGATCCATTTTTCTGTATAGGCTTATTTTTCTGATCTAAAAAAGTTGAATTGAATTGAATGATTTTATATATACACTCACACACATACACGGGATGATTGAGCACTTTTACAGTACAGGTTAACGCACATTTGCTTAATCAGATTAGATCTCTGAGAAGGAATGAGGAAGTGAGGTTGTTAAAACTGGAATCTGGCTCTTTTACCACTGTCTCGACCGGACAATTCTGTGCTAAAACAACTTTTCAAGGTCTCTGTGTGACTCATTCCACTCGAGAAAACAGCAGCTTAAACAAAACAAAACAAATAATGTACTATAGTTGAGTTGAAATAATTTGAAACATTTTGCAGTCAAGGATGCAATGTGTTCTTTATTTGTGAGTAAGAGAGAAATACAAAACATGTACCATACATGTATTACTTCCAGTTAAATGAATGGATAATACTGTACATCCCTTCACCACAGGATGGAGCCGTTCATCCAAAAAACCCCAGAAACTTTTCCAAGCCCAAAGTGAGCAGAAGCACCTTCACCAGAGCCCTCTTAACGTGGTCCTCTATAAAACATAAAAAACATGATTAAACATTTTAATCAAAAGTGTAAATGGTTATTAGTCTGATTTACCTCTATGCAAAACTCTTGAGGCCACTGGGGAAAAACAACAAAACAAGGTTAAGTCTTATGTTTTTTGCATTAAGTCGGGGTGTAAAACTGGCCCTCAACTGGCCGGTGGGGCAGCAGGTTTCAATTCCAACTAAGCAGGAGCATTCCGAAAGGACCCACTTGTAGAAATGTCTGCTGTGCTCCTGCTTCTTTAAACTTCTTTAAAAAAATACAGAAACCTTATTTGGCTCCTTCTTGTTATTTGACAGAGAACTTCAGTGTTCAGAAAACTATTGAGTGTTTTCTTGAATACATATCTTTTGTTTCTTGGGTCATAAATCCTTGAATTGGAGGTTTGATTTTTAGGATCACAACATCTGCATGATGTTGTGGGACCAGCTCCTGATCCTTAAGAGCAGATTTTGTGTGTGAACCAAAATCTGGGACCACATATCACATTATCTACCCTCTTGGCTTCATTACCAAGTCCATGAGGATGGTCCAGGAGGTGTGTGTGTTGAACAGGAATAGGCCACCCGCCACAAACTCTGCTCGTTCTAGCCCCTGTAGAGTGAATATGTGCACTCCGATTGGTTAGAACAATGTTATACTTTTTTTGGGCCACTCCCCTGGTTTCTCAGGGCAGGGGAGACTAACTGGGGAATAAGAGCCGCAATTTTCAGGTGTCGTCCTGAGAAGAGTGAAGAGCCGCACTATTTTCCGGCACCACAAGCCCCAGAGGCCCGACTAATTATATAATAATAAATAATGAATTTCATAGTCTCAAGGTTTGATGTTTTTATTTTATTTTATTTTATTTTATGATAAATGCCTAGGAATTGTATCGTCATTGTATTTGAACATTATCCTTACATGGTGTTTGCTGGAGGAGAACATACCGCGCAGACCAAGAGAACCAGAGCTGGCCAAAATGTGTGCTTATCACTGCTAATGTTAGGAATGTCCATGATGCCAGAGAGAACAGGCCGGTGATTTGAATGGGCAGACATCTAGGAGGCCTCGGGTTTGGTGTATTGATTAAAGAATTAAACTCTGTAACTGTCTATGTGTTCCGTCGCTCTATACACTTAATGGGAGGGTTAGCATCAACTTCCATTCATTACAAAATTTGAAAAACATGGACTGTTTCGCCAATAGTTACAAGAACCCTTAAGATTAATTATGCCTTTTATAGTTTATCTTTACTCAAATCTTTTCCTGAACTGTTTTATATTTGGACATCCCTTGAGCTGCTCCACAGTTCAACCACTTGAACGGAAACGCAGAAACTTGTTTCACTCTCAAATCATACCCTTCTTCCCTCTCAGTAAATACCTTTTGTACATTTTGAGGTAAATCATTACGTTTTTCCCTTTATAGAAAAGCGTAACAATTTGCACCATTTGTAATTTCACCAGATCTGTATATTTCAGTAATTTGGACTATAACCTGCTCCATGGACGATTCTTAAAGCTCTCTTCTATAAAATGACGAGTGGCTGAAATGTTGTGTAACTGTTTGTCTAACAATTGGTTATTCATGGATCAATATTTCGTTTTAAGGCTAACTGTATTTTCTGTTCCAAATATAAAGCACCTGGGTGGCCATCATTCTTCTGTGACAAATGTTTGAAAGGAAAGGATGTTTCTTTCCTGCAATGAACCAATAATATTACACTTGCACACATGGGATAATCTATAAATTTTTTTTGGACCATACAAATAGGTACGGATTAAAATTATGTGTTTGAAATCAATTTGAGATGTTTTATAGCAGTTTTTACAACTACTACAAACGTGCTATATTTCTGCCGTGGGGTCAAGTAGAATGAATTTGTTGGCAAATATCTTCTTTCAATGAAGTAAATCAAAATGTATATTTGGTTTGCAAAATGTACGTTTTAAATTAAAGATAACAATATTGACATGGCATAATTATTCTTAAACTCACCATCTTGAGAAGTCTCCCGCACGCCATGACCACACCGCTGTGGTTAGATCTGTTGAGGTCTTCTCGTCACTACCCGCTATGGTTGTGTCGTCTTTGGGGTCGTGGTTGTAGTTTCCGCAGGCTCCACACATTTTGTAAGTGAGGGTAGGGTCCACAATCACTCTGAACTCCCGTGTGAGAGAAAAGGTGACGCGTAGAACGGAGGTCTTCTCTATGACCACACTGTTCTCAGATACGTACAAGGAAACACGAAAGTCCAGTTCTACTGGGAGGGACGTCTTTCTGCCATTCACCTGATCACAGACGGGGGTACAGAAAGAAAGGGTTATTACTCTGAGGGAACAAAAAAAGTAATAGTAAGTAAAAGGTCTAATAGTAGTAGTCCTTTTTTGTTGCTGTAAATTCTGTCCACTGTAGTATCCCGTCCTGTTTTGGTTAACTGATTCATCAAAAGAAAACATAAATATTTATTTTGGTGCTCAATAAAACCTAATTAAGTGGAGAAACTAGAGACTAGAGCGGATCCCTTTCTCAATGTGGATCTCCCTGAGGTTTCTCACTTTTTCCCACTTTTTTTTTGTTTTTGTTTTTTGTTGGACAGTTAGTGTCTAACAAAAAGGACTGTGGTAATGATCCAGGGCACTTCAACATTCTACAACATGTATGGACATCTATCAACATTCATGGACATTGGTCTCCTTATGGACCAATACATATGTGTATTTTCCGTGTCAACTGTTGATTCTCTGATTTGTGTTGGTGATTTCAATGGTTTTGTTAAGTCCTCTGAGATGACTGCTGTTTAAAGGGCTATACAGGAATAAATTGTATTGTACTGTATCTGTCCATTTGCAGCAAATGTAATATCAGTGGAAGTTCAAAGACAGTTTTTTGTTCTGTCAAAATGATAGCTAAGCCTTACAGTCACAGCAGATAATAGGACATTGCAAGTCCTCTCCACTAGAGGGCGCCAGCTGCGTTTATACAATATTTGCTGAAATATTTTTTGTTAGTCACTCTAGAGAGCTTCAACAGCTGCTTCTCTGCACCCGCTGCTGGTGAGCATATATGCGCTGAGCAGCAAGTGAGCTCGGCCACTGAAAGCTGCACGGCAAAATCTCATGAATAATACCTCAGATTTGTCTTGTTGCCTTGAGTGCAAGGCTGGCAACAAGACAAATCTAAGTTTTGGCCACCAATGCTGTGAGAAGTGCCTGATGCGCTGTAAGGGCAGCTACAGATTTTTCCCACGATTAAAGTTTAAAGCCTGTGTGGTAACTTCAGTAAACTCTGGAAGGCTCAGGGCTCATACTCAGCGGGTAACACCCGTCTTTGTAAATGATGTTATATTATATTATAGCACTCCGATGAATTTAGGCTGATTTGTTTACATCTTTCAGCGGAATTGCCTGTCCACAGTATACAGGACCTATTGTACATGTTTATATTAAAGTTTTGCACCAGTTTCTAGGCTACAGACTGAGCAGGTCAAAACGATGTGCAAGTCCAAAATACAATGTTTTTTCATACCCAAACTTCCTGTTGACCATTCACTGCGATGCTGTAGTTTGTGAAGAAGACGTAGACTGCGTCCACAACAAGACTTCCCTTCCCACATCTGCGCACGTCCACCACCACCCTGAACCAGCGCGCGTCAGTGAAGTCGCACAGGGAGGCCACCTCGAAAGCCCCCAGATCACCCATGGGCCCCGTCAAGCCGTCAAAGGTGGAGAGGTGAGCGGCCTTGTCGATGCTGCATTGGCCTTGAGTTGGGTGGCAGTCCCTCACACCGTCACGGACCTCACAGACCTCAGAGCTGCCGCAGACTGTTTTTTCACATTTGACTATTCCAGGCGCCTGACACACACATGTGGACTGGCATTGAGGGTCGACGACCGATTCACCGACCTGAAAACAAGTAAAACATTTTTATCAGGGTTTAGTTTTGAAGGATTTTATAATGATATACATATGTTAATGTGACAATTTACAATAGCACTGAAAATATATGAGTGAATAAATGTTACTTCTTTTCAAAACAAACGGTCACAGGAATGCTGGCCAAGACTCACTTCTCTGTCTAGAATAGACCCCTTTTCAGGGGATAAAAGATTTTTTATATAATGGATTTTCTGATCTTTCTGGAATTCCTTGTACTCGCTTGCATCTTTATAAAATATTGTGCATTATTTGTGTTAAATTTGAGAGAGTATTGAATATGTGAATGCTAGTTAATATTTTAGCATGCAGTATTTGGGGACATTTTACCAGAAGTCATGCCTCGTTTTCCACAGGGCCACTATTATTCTTTTGATCCACTCAAGTCTTTCTTCTACAGTGATATGCCGGTCCTCTACTGTCTTACATATCTTCTTAGTGACCCACTTCAGCATTTGCAGAGGTTCTATTTCCCCTACTAACCGGACTCTGCGACCATTTTTAAGAGGCTCAGCTCTGAACATGACATAATACTGTAAATGATTCATCCTAACTTATTATACGGCTCCTCACAGCAGCAGTAGAACCAGGCCCGTCGGAAGGGCTGTGCGACCTGTGCCGTCGCACAGGGCCCCGCACCACACAGGGGCCTCGCAATCTTCCTTGCTTTTTATTTATTTTTAGAAATACACTAGTTCAAGGGTCCCCAAAGGGCAGACTGCACTCCAAGTTTGGACCCCTAAACCCCTTTCTCTGGACCTCTTTGATTTCGTTAGATCAAAAGAACATTTTTACAAGTAAAGTCAAATTGTCACCAAAAGCGATTTGTAAACAGGCAGGCGCGCGGGCAGCTATGTACGCAGTGGGTCCTCCGAAAAATCTTTACGGAACTGTCAGATAACTTTAGCAGTGTCAGAGTGAGATACGAAGAAAGTAAAGGGAATGATCGCAGTGTAGGAGAGATGGATACTCGCGGAGGAGGAGCAGTGAGACAGGTGTGAGCAGAGGAGCAGACCCCTTTGTGTGAGCAGAGGAGGAGGAGCAGTGAGACAGGTGTGAGCAGAGGAGCACACCCCTTTGTGTGAGCAGAGGAGGAGGAGGAGGAGCAGTGAGACAGGTGTGAGCAGAGGAGCACAGCCCTTTGTGTGAGCAGAGGAGGAGGAGGAGGATCAGCGGTGTGACAGGTGTGTGAGCGCTGCTATTGCCAATGTTTAGTCCGAATATCCACATCAAAAACTTATTTTTAAAAGCATTAGCAAACACACCGTATGTCTAGCTTTAGCGCCCACTGCGAGTGGAGTGGATTTTGGGCATAAAACGCTGTTTTTGTTGTGGTCAGAGTGTGAGGAGGAGGAGGTGAAGAGTATGTTGTTGTGGTCAGTGTGGAGGAGGAGGTGAAGAGTATGTTGTCAGAGTGTGTGGAGGCATGGCAAAAACGTTATTTGATGAGAAAAAAAAAACAAATATTGACTCTGCCTCATAGCCATTTTGGCGCATTTTGCCTAAATCTAACTATTAGAAGAAAAAGACTCCTTTTGGTTCAATCTTTTGAGTTGCTCTACCATTTTGCCACAGGACGAAAGAGACATGTCAGCTAAAAAGACCGCGACCAATATCGCAATACCAAGCGCCGTAGTGTGTGCGTGCGCGCGCCGAACGCTGCATTGGAGCGAAGACACTCGGCTACACGCGTGCTGATCTCTTCACGCACCGCGCGAGGTGGTGCTGAATTCATGTCAAAGATTATAACAGGAAAAACTTTCCTCAGATCTGGGAAAAAAGTGTCAGGGCAGGGCCTCGCGTTTCGAGTTCGCACAGGGCCTCGCACCCCCCTTGCGACGGGCCCGAGTAGAACACTCCTCTGATTTGAATGTAATTTCTTGATAACCGACTTCTCAAAACAATGGCTGCTGCCCATGGCAACGCACTCTCTGCTTGTAATTCAGGTGTGTAGATTATTCCGCAAGTAGTCACTTCATCACAACGGGCTACGTCACTGCTTCTGTCTCTGCGAGAGAAGCAATCGGAGCTAGCCACGCTCAATACACGAACAACAATCAATCAACCACAACGAACGTGGTAAACCCGGAAGTAACCGTTTTAGGACGCATTTGCAGAGGATCGAATTATGGATTTAGGTTGAGTATTTGGGTCACTCACAGCTGATGTCCAGAATTCTTTGTTCAGTTTTTATGTAGTTAGAGAGAGTTCTAGTTTGAAAGTTGCTAGCGTAACTGTTACTCACCTGCCACGGGAAAACCTTTGGGAACTATTTTATTTGCAGTCATTAAATAAACCTTTCAGCATTCATAAAGGTGGGCTGAAGTCTATTTTGTGTGTGCTCCGCCCTGTTGGTTCTTATCATCCAATAACGACCTGCGTACTATACATTATCCCTTACATAGTGATTTTGAGTTAGAAAGAACATTTTAAAAGGGGAGGAGGGAAGTGTGCTGATTTAAGCCAGAAGTTCCTCATATTAGTTTGGATAAAGCCAGATCTGTTTTTCATGACAGAAACTTATTGCAACATAAAAGCTCATATGTGTCCATGTATCATTACCTTTAGATATCTATCGCCGTGTAGACATCCGCACTTGCTGGGAGAAACACACTGGTCCCCATCAAACACCAAACCCTGGTCACACTGGCATCCTTCAAAGCAGTTCTCAGAGCAGGACACCGCCTTCAGGAGTCCAGCGCAGGTGCCTCTACAGGTGTCTGCACACAGCTCATAGTGGCTGTTCTCTGGGCACAAAGCAGCTGGAAAAATATGTATACTGTTAAAACTATGCAGCTAGCGCCTCATTATAAAGAATCCTGAACAAAGATAATTTATAGAGTTGCATAAAGTAAACGGTAGTTTGGAACTGGAGGAATGAATGTCTGATCGGAACTTCTTCCTGCAATAAACCACCCTCCGAGAAGGACATGGTTTACGGGTATAGATAGACATGTGTTTTGTGTTTTCTTACGGCAGAAAGAGTCGCTCCTCCACTGTTGAATCTGAACTCCAGCACTCTGACAGGCCAGAGCATAGGCCATGATGCTGTCGCACAGAGCATCCTTATCTTCACACACATCAAAGATGCAGTTTACAAAATATGTGTATGGGTTAATCATGCGGCGGCACGCTTTGAAAGGCCCATTCCATGCTTTAATAATACCGCAGGAGTCTGGCTTCAGCAATACTGCGGCTTTAGCTCGATCGCACACTGGACATTGACTTCCACAACCTCCACAATCGAAACCAGGGAGCTCCACAGCCCATGCCTTTCCAAACACATCGACATCTTTGGTAAATTTTCCATTCGGCAGTAAGAAGTCATAATTGCGGTTTCTGTTGTAGTTGCCACAAAGGCCACACATTCTTCGCCAGTATGTAGACGGTACGATGACTTCGGCGTGATAGACGGTATCGTACTGAACTCTCAAACCAAAGTCAGTTCTGACAATGATGTTGCGTCCCTCTTGGGTTATTTGGATGCGACCGTCGTGTAGGGACGAGGGCAGATTGACAAATTCACCGTTCACCTAAACACAACAATTGAAAACATTATGGTTTGTTAAAAAAATGTCTGCTTTAAGTAGTGCTGAAGGTAAAATAATTTACAGATTTTCTGACTTTCTGAAGCTCAAAGAACAAAAATGTATTCTTTGTGTTAATTTAAACAATTTCTTTAGATTTTTACATAAAAAAAACAAAATAAAGATTTGTACAAGCATAACGAGTTTGCAAAGGGGGCTTTTGGACAAGCGGGGTGGGTGTTTTTTTAAGCTAGAAACATGTATAAGCCTGTCTGATGAGGAAACAATTTCAGTGTGGCATTTTTTGTTTTAAACTTCAGCGCAAAGTTTAATTTTGGGATTGTAGAATGTCTTTAATGAGAGGTGTTCATGTAACATACCAAAAATTCACTTACTTTGACTTTCCAGCTGTCTCCTCGCTGAATATAGATGACAAAACCATAGACTTCAACTCCCACCGACTTTGTGACCGCCACGTTTCCATTGCCCCACTTCTCATTTCCTTGCGTCACGGTGAATGACGTCAGTTGGCCTTCATCGTCATCGCACACTTTGGCCAGAATATAAACGCACGTACCCTGGAAGTCAAACCTGTGGCCATCAAAGGTCTGGTAATGTGGATCTCCGGAAGCCACGCACCACGCCTCCCCCACAGGATGACAGCCTCTGACACCATCCACCAGTTTACACATCTCACCAAAACGGCATCTGGTTCTCTGGCATAAAACAGCGCCATTTTCTCCGCAGACACACTTCTCCAAACATTTGTCGTCTGGATAAAAGACAGCACCGCTCTGGTAATAGTGTCCGCCGTAGGAGCAGCCGCAGTCTTTGATGGGCACACAGGCTCCCCCACTCAGCAGGAAGCCATCGTCGCATTCACACGTTTCTGCACATGATCTGTTGCAGTTCACCGAGGTTAAGCTGGCACAGGTGGCGGGGCAGCTCGTGGCACAGAGGGTGTAATGGCTGTTAGCGGGGCACAACATCGCTATGGGATGAGAACAGAGAAGTGTGAGCGATTAACAGAAAACCCTAAGGTGGAATACACAGGTGAACTATGCAAGTTTTTTGATCCTGTTGCTGACATCCCAACTTTGCCTCATTCATTAAAGGTACACTGTGTAATATTTAGTTCCATCTAGCGTTGAGATCTTATATTGCAGTCTATTATAGTACGGGTGCCTTTGAGGTTGAGGAGCACTGTTTGACAGTGCTAAGAAAAGAATACTTTAGTTTGATAAATGACTGGATCTCTCCAAACGTCTCGGGCACTTTACAATTGCGTGGAGGAGTGGATGTAAACAAGACCACGTTCACCATGTTTTACCATGGATCTATTATCATATACTGTATAGTTTTACAAACGCAGTGTGAAGAGAAGAGACGCATTGAGGAATAACGTCTGTGGGAACTTAAAACTACGATGATCAAAGAAGCAGGAGATGGCTAAAAGCTCATGTTAGCATTAGCGTTAGCCACAGCGCCCTATTAGCATCAGGGTAAGAAAACAAAACATTCACTCAAGCTGCGGATGAAGTATTCTGGCAATTGTTTTGTGGAGATTCTGTGTGTGTTTAATTTGAGGCTTTTTCTCTGAATAAGTTGAGTTGAAACTTGTGACATAGTAGTTTGGGCTGCTCTCGGATCGGGTCAGAACATCCTGAGACTGCGTTGTAGATTCTGCCTCGTTCTCATTAATGTCAGTGTGAAAAAGTTACGTATTGTTCACGTGTGAGTCTGTTGTGTACAAACTACACAATGTACCTCTTGTTGTGTTAACGCTGTCTTCGTGCGTGTGGTTTGCGATGTTGACACTTTGCTGCTATGACGCTGGACTTCTGCATAATTATTTTGCTAAAAGATTCCTGTTTGGATCGTTCTTTTACATAACTGTGGTCCTCAATGGTTCTTTTATATAACTGTGGTCCTCCATGGTTCCTTCTTCTAACTTGTGAAGGCACGGTGAAAACAACTTATCAGTAGCTCATGTGAAACGAAAACGCGTTTCTTGCATCCTTTTTGTCCCTTAGCCATCACTGTTTTTCAAGATGGCGCATATTCACGGAGAGCACCCCTCTCTCATGGACACTTAAGTTAAATTCTAAGCCTATGAATACAATTCAAAAAACATAGTGGAGGTAAATATTCTTAAAAAGGTCACGTTTGTTAGTAGTTAACATGTTTTTGAATACGGAGCAGCTGTAAAAACTACACAGGGTGGCTTTAAATAAATGGATGAGGCAATGTGGATCCACTTTTCTATCCCATAGCTCCAAACCAGACCATGAACTAACCCCTAGGTCCAAGAAAAAAAAAGATTTTGATGAAAAGATAATGCGTGATAAAAAAAAGTGTGTTGTTTTTTTAACCAGATTTTAAAACATTGTTTTCAGAGCAATGCTGGCCCCCAAAAGAGGGGGGCTATTGTACATTGTACATTGTAATTTGTGGTAGGGGAAACCTACCTACCTAAGCTCCTGGGTTGGAACCCAGAACCTTCCAGCTGAGAAGCAAGTGTTAACTCGAATTAGTTGAATTATACTTACGACAGAACTTGTACGTCCTCCATGGGCGCACCTCTACCCCTGCGCTCTGACAGGCGGACACATAAGCCTCGATGGCATCACACACAGAGCCGTGGTGCCCATCATACTGACACGCATCAAACGCACAGTCCTCCAGATATGGGGCATTATTAATGCGGCTGTGGCACTCTTTGAACGGCCCCGTCTTGTCCGCAATAATGCCACAGTATTTCTCCACTTTGTACACATCTTTCTGGGAGCCATCACAGCGACTGCACCTCGGCCCCTGGCACACTGATAAGCAGCCCTGAACAATGCCGACCCTCCAGCTCTCCCCCAGCTGGACTTCAGTATTAGCAGCCTCGCCATTGGGCTTGTTGAAATCGTCGTTAGGATTTTCATTATAGTTTCCACACAGACCGCATACAGCACCCTGGTACTTGCTTGGCAGAGTCACAGAGACACGGTGGTGCCAGTCAAAGGTTATAGTGATACCAGCTGCTGTTTCGACCACCGCTTTTTGACCGCTGTGTGACACCCACAGGTCATCGCTGTACTGCAGGGGCAAGTCCTCGAGCTGACCGTCAAGCTGAAAACACAAAATTACGCAATAAATTACGTCTGTTGGGATGCACCTTCTTTTTTTTAGACTTATAGATGTGCCTAAATGTCTTATTGTAATAAGTTTTATTTAGGGATGCAAAATATATCGGTGTAGGTATCTACATCGGCATCGGACCGATGAGTAAAATTGGGCCGATAACCACAACCAATGTGTTTTATTGTTATAAATATTCACTGATTCAGAGTCAAAATGCTTTTTCTCTGTGGCGTGTGCAGTTGTGGCAACTGTTCCAATCAAGTGGAGAACTTATGGAGTTTCTATTTTGTTAAAAAGTATTTCTGTAATGGGTGTCGATAGGAAATTAGAAAAATGCCTAAAAGAAACGAAAAATGCATTAACACGAGCATTAGCCTGCGTAGCATTTGCCACAAACGCGTCCGACTGTTCACAGTGTTCACTGACTTTCATAGATACAATGCAGTGTTTTTGAGTGGTATACGATTGTAGTAACCAAGGAAACAGGGAGAAAGAACTTTTGAATATGTTTTTGTCCTAAAAAAATTTAAAACAGGCTGTATAATCTAAGCTGTTGTCGCTGCGGAGCTTCCCCTAGGAGCTTACTTTCAGTGCAGCAAACTCACTCCAGAAGTTCAGTGAGGATCTTTGAATGATCCAATGTTGTCCTAAATGACTGATGATGATAAATAGAATGCACCTGTGTGTAATCAAGTCTCCGTATAAATGCACCTGCTCTTTGATAGTCTCAGGGTTCTGTTTAAAGCGCAGAGAGAACCATGAAGACAAAGGAACACACCAGGCAGGTCCGAGATACTGTTGTGGAGAAGTTTAAAGCCGGATTTGGATACAAAAAGATTTCCCAAGCTTTAAACATCTCAAGGAGCACTGTGCAAGCAATTATATTGAAATGGAAGGAGTATCAGACCACTGCAAATCTACCAAGACCCGGCCGTCCCTCCAAACTTTCATCTCAAACAAGGAGAAGACTGATCAGAGATGCAGCCAAGAGGCCCATGATCACTCTGGATGAACTGCAGACACACACACACACACACACACACACACACACACACACACACACTCTCACACACACCACAATCCATCTAGGCAATGTGGGTGAAGTTGACTAAGGACAACCACATCCGTCCCACTGTGGCACCTGGTGTTCCCAGAGGTCTCCCATCACAGCACTAACTAGGCCCTGCCATGCACAGCTTCAGAGGTCTGACAGGATCTGGCTTTTGCATCCAAGTGAGCCACAGGGAGAGTGCATTAAGTTACAGTACTGTATTTTATTGTATGTATTTGTATATTTGTATGGGACAGTGTGTATAATCAACATCAGCAGCTGTACGTACACCATATTGTAGCTATGTTTATTTCCACAATCTTTCAACGCTCACCTATTATACCGGTTTTAGTGGTAAGGGAAACCGGAGCACCTGGAAGAAACCTACGCAGGCACAGGGAGAACATGCAAACTCCACACAAAAAGGCATATGATCCACCCACGCAGGTGGATAGATCATATCCAATAGAAGAATAACTTGTATTGTAATTGTATTGTATATCCACCAATCTCTTCCCATTCCCCCTCATCAACAGACCCCTGTAGTTTGGGCGGGGTGGGAGCCGCCAGGAGGGTCAAAGAGAAAGAGAGCCACCATTGTCCGTTATACGTGATGTTGTTCAGAAGAGATTTCAGGTCACATAATAAAATGTGTGAATCTTTTCTCCTCTTGGTTATACATAGTAGGCTCGGATTATTAAGGCCAGGAATGTTAATTTGTATCGCACAGTTCAAGAAGAGAGCAACTCAAAGTGCTTTACAAAACTAGAGTGTAAGATTTCAAATTTCAAAGAATCACACAACATACATTTACAATAATAAATGCGGGTTTAACCTGGATTTGTCATTGTCTGTCATTTGCTGTGTCGAATTGTAGCTGCATGAATCTGAAATGCATTTTGTCTCGACATCATCATGAAACATAACAAAATTTTGAAATCGATTCATATGAATTTACTAAATTTATCTATCTAAAAATAATACATTATGTATTATTATGTAAAATTATTATTATTTTAAATTATTATTATTTTACATTATGTAAAATAATACATTATGTATTATTTTTGCAAATGTGATTTACTTCCTGTACTCAAGAACAAATAAAATGCATTGTTTGTGGTCGTGTTCGCCCATAAAAATAAAAATGTATCCAGAGAATATTTACTTTTGAAATAATTGTACGACTGAAATAAATGAGTAGACTTATAAAGTAATAGGAGACTGTCAGGAAGAACAACACCACAAGTGGTGGAAGTTACAAGTTACACTGTAACTTCTGACTTCTTAGAATTAGTTAAAGCCCCTAATTTGACTGTTGCATGGAGGCAATACTTTGGATTTGAAAGGCAGAGAAGAATAAGCCGCTCTATGCTTTTATTGAGAAACAATATTGTAACATGGTTCAAAGTGTGAAGGTTCTGAACCTACCCATATTTTATTGGGGTTCTCTCGACTGATGATGATCGTGACTCCGTACATCTCGATGATCACAGTTCTGGTGATGGACACGGCTAAGTTGTTGCCTCTGTTTTCATTCTGCACGGTGACTTTAAATGGCTCCAGATACGGTTTCTTCACACACAACGCCGCCAGTTGATATTTACACGTACCCTGGAAGTGGGGATGTCAAGAGCATTGGGTTAATTCATAATCTTGAATATTTAGGTCACTTTATGAAAGTAAAATAAATAGTACGTATGACTTTTTCAGAAACTGTATGAATGACTCATTGTTTAACTGTATTATAAAAATTGTGACATCCTTACCTGGAAGTCAAATCTCCGGCCATCAAATGTCATGTAGTGAGGGTCTCCCTCGGCTGTACATGTGGCAAAGCTTGTGGGCCGACAAGCACGGATCCCATCCACCACAGAGCACTCCTCATTGTCCGCGCATGAAGCCTCATTGCAGACCACCGTCCCCAGAGTCGTGTCACACTCACAGAGGCGCCCACAGCCCGGGCCTTCCCAAAAGCGTTGGCCTGGTTTGTAGTAGCGCCCCTGATAGGAGCAGCCGCAAGTTGCTTCTGGGACGCACACGCCGGCGCTCAGGACATAGCCCTTATCGCACACACAGGTCTCCACACAAACGGTGGCACAGATCTGCTGCTGCTCTGGGAAGGGGCAGGTCGGCTGGCACGGGCTGGCACATTCCTCAAAGTGACTGTGGGGCTGGCAGTTCATTGCTGCAAACAAAGTAACATGTATCAGCTTCATGTCTTTGTCTGATTTTTATGTCCTCCTTGAGCGTTTGCAGTCTGAGATTTGCATTTGATATTTTCAAAGTCAATGACCAATCCATAATGTGGTTATTGCTCTTGCAGTGATCTGATATGGTTTCTCCTCCAATACTCTTCATTGTCCTATACAAGCCACCGCAGTCATGTCACAGTTTTATTGATAATTTTACCGAGTTGCTTTCAGTTGTATGCACAGATTTTGATAGTTTGGTTATTACAGGTGATTTTAATATTCATGTGGATAATGTTAATGACAGAAATGCAAATGTTCTGTACTTGAATCCTTTGATCTCACTCAGCACATAAGTGGCCCCACCCACAGCAGAGGGCACACTCTAGATCTGTTAGTTACTAAGGGGGTGAATATTTCAAATGTAAACGTGGTCAATGTTGCTCTTTCGGATCATGTCTGTGTTTTTTTTTGACATGTGTTTCACTAACAAACCACCAGTGGACTCTGCAACTGTTCGAAGAAGGCGCATAAATGAAAATACGAGTGATCTATTTATGGGAATGATAAACTTTGAGAATGCATAGTGTTCTACTGTAGATTAACTGTTTAACTCTGTCACCTCTAGTGTTTTGAATGTTCTGGATACCGTTGCCTCTGTGAAGGTTAAAATAGTGAAAAATAAGCAGAAGGCGCCGTGGGCTAAAGCAGACTCGGTCAGGGCACAAAAGAGAAAGTGCCGGAGGGCCGAGCGGAAGTGCCGCAAGTCCAACCTCCAGGTTGATTACGAGATCTTCAAAGATAAGTTGTGCGAGTTTAACCGGGTGCTACGTAGTACGAGATAAAGGTATTTTTCTGAAATGATTGAAGGCTGCAGCAACAATCTGCGTGTTCTGTTCTCAACAGTTAATAGATTAACAAACCCCCCTGTTCAGATGCCATTAGAGCTTACTTCCAAACGTAAATGCAAAGAGTTTGCTAATTTTTTCAATGACAAGGTTCAAGGCATCAAAAACGCCATTGTCTTCAATCCACAGACAACCATCCAACAGCCAAATAGGCTCTTTGAGCTAACTCACTTTGCACTTGTAAATGATCAAACTGTCCAAGAGATAATCTCCAGTCTGAGCTCCTCCACATGCAGCCTGGATGTACTACCCACTAGATTTCTGAAGTCTGTTCTGAGCAGTCTGTTACCTTCACTCACACAGATAGTAAACATGTCCCTTCATTCTGGAATATTCCCAAAGGCCCTGAAAACTGCAGTCATCAGGCCCCTGCTAAAAAAGAGCAGTCTGGATGCTACGGTACTTAACAACTATCGTTCCATCTCAAATCTGCCATTTATGGGGAAAGTCCTTGAGAAAGTTGTCTACCTACAGCTTACTAGATTTCTTATAATCAACAACTCATTTGATATGTTTCAGTCCGGCTTTAGACCCCACCACAGCACTGAGACTGCTCTCGTCAAGGTTACAAACGATATCCGGCTGAACACTGACGCAGGCAAAGTCTCAATCTCAATCTTGTTAGATCTAAGTGCTGCCTTTGACACCGTCGACCATGAGATCCTCTTACAGAGACTAGAGGACTGGGTTGGCGTCGCTGGCACCGCCCTAAGTTGGTTTAGGTCTTACCTTGAGGACAGGAAGTACTTTGTGGAGATTGGAAACAGTGTCTCAGATCATATGGCCCTGACCTGTGGAGTACCATAGGGGTCGATCCTGGGACCTCTTCTGTTCAATCTCTACATGCTGCCGTTAGGTCAGTTAATACGCAGAAACAAAGTGTCCTATCACAACTATGCAGACGACATTCAGATCTATGTCTCACTGACTGCAGGAGAACATGGACCAGTGGACTCACTCCTTCACTGTATCCAACAGATCAGTGAGTGGATGCAAAACAACTTCCTTCAGCTAAACGCAGACAAAACTGAAATGATTGTCTTTGGTCCCCAGAAACAAAGAGAGAGCGTCATCTGTCACCTACAGTCTCTCTCCCTAAAACCCTCAAACAAGGTTAAAAATCTAGGGGTAATACTGGACTCAGACTTAAATTTTAATAGCCACATCAAATCAGTAACATCAGCAGCTTTTTACCACCTAAAAAACATTGCCAGGATCAAAAACATAGTGTCTAAAGCAGACTTGGAGATCCTTATCCATGCATTTGTCTTCAGTAGGTTAGACTACTGCAATGGCCTGCTCACAGGTCTGTCCAAACAGGCTGTAAAACAGCTGCAGTACATTCAAAATGCAGCAGCTCGAGTCCTGACTAGAACCAGGAAGTACGACCACCTTAGTCCAGTTCTCAGGTCTCTGCACTGGCTTCCTGTGGCTCAGAGAATAGACTTTAAAACAGCTCTGCTTGTGTACAAGTCTCTCCATGGCCTCGCACCAAAATATATTAGTGACATGTTAGTACCATACGAACCGGCCCGGACTCTGAGGAGCACAGGGACTGGACTCCTGTTAGTGCCCAGAGTCAGAACTAAACATGGGGAGGCTGCTTTTCAGATTCATGCTGCTAAAATCCGGAACAGTCTTCCTGAAGATGTGAGACAGGCCTCCTCTCTGACAATGTTTAAAACCAGGTTAAAGACAGTTCTGTTTAGCTGTGCATACAACTGAGGGATTTTATATTTTTAGCTTTCTTTTTAATGTTCTGTGATTATTTATGATTTTAATGCTTTCTTTTTTTGTTCAGCACTTTGAATTGCCTTGTGTATGAATTGTGCTAATTTTGTGATTTGCATAATCTTGGGAAGGAACAAGCAAACTAATCAATCAGGATGAGGGAGCATTTCTCCTGTCCCACACATGGGACACCCTCCCTCTTGAGACCACCTAGCGAAAGTAGGCTTTGTCAGTGTGAGCAACTGGTCGGTAAGAGCAAAGTCGAAATAACCAAATCAAAGGATTCCAACCACAATCAATCAAACACAAAATCAGCCTGTATGCAGATGATATCCTCCTCTTTTTACAAAACCCACCTTCATCATTACACCACACAATAAACCTCATCGAATCATCGATGTTGCAGCCATCACACCTCCTGTCCCACTCTCTTCAAACCACATCACTTACCTGGGAATAAAGGTTTCCTCCAGGCTCTCAAAGCTGTTCCCTCTCAACTTCCCCCCCTTACTCAAACAATTAGAAGAAGATTTACAAGGCTGGATGAATCTCCCCATTTCAATCACAGGCAGAATCTCTTTCGTTAAAATGTCAATACTCCCCAAAATCAACTACATACTCTCAATGACCCCTGTTCAACCCTCTCAAACCTGGTTTAAATCACTCAACTCTGCCATTAACAAATTCTACTGGAAAAACAAACCACCCCGTATCAAACTCGCAACACTACAGAATACAAAACTACAGGGAGGTCTCAATGCCCCAAATTTTTACCACTATTCATTAGCTAATCATTTACAGTAAATACACAAATGGATCCACTCAAACACATCTGACTCAATCTGGATGGATACTGAACAATCACTTTGCAATAACATCAATCTCTCAGACCTACCCTTCCTTAATCAATCAATAAAGAAATACCAACTTTTCAAAACACCAACAAATTCGGCAGCTCTGACAGCCTGGTGGAAACTCCACGATTTAACAAACACCCCCCTTGCCCCATCCATCCGCTCCCCAATTTGGCACAACCCAGAATTCACAAGCAATAATAAACCTCTGTACTTCCATTCATGGGGAATAACTCACCTCAATCACATTCTCACAAATAACAGCTTAAAACCACTGACACAGTTGGCCCAGGAGTATGGCATTGGGAGTAAATGCTTCCTCGAATACTTACAACTAAAATCAGCAATACAACAAAAAATCAACATCAAAACAATAAATCTAGGCCTTCATGATACAATTGCGGATTTCATAAATATTCCCCCCAAAAAACTGAACACCAAAATGTAGAAAATAATCACCAAATCAGATAATACACAATCTCTTCCAACTGCAAAATGGCAACAAGATTTAGCATTTACTCCCAGTGCCAACTTCTGGACCCAAATCTGCAAAAATATGTATTCAATGACCACCAACTCCAACCTCCAACTCATACAATTCAAAATCCTACACAGATATCACTACACCGGTTACAAATGATCAAAAATGGGATCCACTTCAGACATCTACCCACACTGCACACAGGGTTGTAGGGACAATTACATTCACGCTCTTTGGCACTGCACTCCGGTCCAAGCATTCTGGAAAGCCGTCACTCAATCACTCACCACTTCACTTGGCTGCAACATCCCAATGTCCCCATCCCTCTGTCTTCTAGGAGACATATCCCCATCAATCAGGGTAAATCAAAGTATCTTTTGATGTCGCTAGCTATCGCCAAAAAAACAATACTCATAAACTGGAAATCCAAAACCAACATACACACCTCCACATGGGAAAACTTAATGTCAGATTATATTTCACTTCAAGACATACCCCCCAACCACACCTCAAACAATACACCCAAACCCCAGTCATAAGCTAACCTTATATACTTTACCTATTACCACTATTTATGTCATCTTGTATTTTGCACACCTCTCTCTCCCTGCTGCTACACCACTGTACCCCTGTTTTATGTCATATATATATAGATATACATACATTCTATGATGATATGTTGATGAGGAGGGAATAAGAATAAATTAATAAAGGAATTAATAGTTAATAATTAATAAAAATATATAAATAAATAAATAACAAATAACAAATTAAAAATGAAAATAGGACAGTAAGATACTGATTATATTACAGTTTCAAATTTAATTTTAGCAACTTACACCGGCCAACTTAGTTATGTGTAGATGATTAAATAAAATTCCTGTCTTACGGTTGGACGCGTTGATAGTTCATAAGCAGATTACCAATTTAAAAAAGGTTTCAAACTCCCCACTTTGGGCAGTCTCTACAACACATAATAATTTACTATAACCACAATACTGCCTTTGCCAGAAATGTGGA